TTGTTCTGTCAGAACAATACTCTGTTTGTAACCATGCGTCATGTTCTGTTAATAAAACGCTCTGCGGAGGAGGTTCAGTGGGAGACAATGTTTGAGTCTGGGGTTCAACTGTCTCTCCTTTCTGCAGGAATTGTATCCATAATTGTGTATTTCAGTTCTTCTTTTGCAAATTCTACATGTTATGAACCCGACAATGATGCTTCTCTTTATATCTTAATGTCCACAAATCATGACAGAAAGAATGTTTTAGTACAAAGATTTAAAAATGAATTATAGGGGACCAGCCAAGGACCCATCAAGAAAAATGAGGACATTTTAAATGGCTACTACTGTACACCTATAGAATATATATCCTACACCTAAATATATATCCCTGCAGGTGGTTGGGACAGGCATGCTGGTTCTCTGTATTCTGGCCATCATTGATGGCGGAAACATCGGAGCTCCTAAAGGCGTGGAGCCGCTCGCCATCGGCCTGATCATCATGGCCATCGGTGTGTCCATGGGGCTCAACTGTGGCTACCCGCTGAACCCTGCCAGAGACCTGGGACCACGTCTGTTCACGGCGGCAGCAGGATGGGGGATGGAGGTCTTCAGGTAGCTACAAAAATAAGGCAAAATAACCTTCATACAGTATAAACCAGCATGCCTTCACTGCAAAAAATGGAAATCTAAATCCGTCATTTTTTCTTAAACTAAGTGCATTTGTTCTTGAATTGAGGAGGTAAGTGAGATGCTTTGCCAATGGAACAAGACAATTTACATTTATAATAAGAAAAAGCAACCGCATTGTCTCATTTCAAGTGGATATTATCTAATAATCTTATTATAAGAGTAAAAATACTTATTCCATTGGCAAACTATATCATTTACCTGCTCAAATTAAGGGTAAATACACTTAATTTAAGAAATTTTTACTTATTTCTAGACCATTTTTTCAGTGTTACTGCTTCACTGGAAAAAAAATGGAAATCTAGATAAGTCATTTTTTTTTTTTAAGTGCATTTGTTCTTGGATTGAGGAGGTAAAAGAGACATTTTTCCAATGGAACAAGACAATTTACACTTAAAATAAGAAAACACAATTACATTGTCTTATTTGAAGTGCATTTTATCTAATTATTTTATTTTAAGAGTAAAAATACTCATTCCATTGGCAAACTATCCCATTTACCTTCTCAAATTAAGGATAAATAATAGTGTTGCGCTGATGCCATTTTTCTGCCCCGATACCCGATACCAGGCTGTGCAGTCGGCCGATACCATCGGTTTGAAATTGCTGTGTGTATATATATGAAGAACTGCATCCTACTTGGATGTAAAATAATCACCATCATGGCTTCCTGTCAAGCTGCTGCCTTCCTTAGTGAAGCAGGAAAAAGACTAAAACAAAGTGAATCCAGTAGAACGTTTTATTGCCTTCCTGAAGTGGGTGACAATAGTTGAAGAAACATTTGGCTCTCAAAATGGTATCGATGCCCTATTAACTGAGTGAAGTTGGCCCCCCCACCTTCCTCAAATCAGACAAAATTAGTGTCAAACGTTTGTGCTGCAAAATTTTTCGTTTGTGCCGCTATCGTTTTAAAGATATAAAGAAATATTTCTAGAGGTCATCAAAGGTCAGCCAGCCCCCCCCACCTTCTTCAAAATAGACGAAATGGGTCTCAATTAACTCAGCTCCATTTGTGCAGCAAAAATTGTTGTTTGTGCCGCTTTGGCTTTGAAGATATTAATGAAAATGTAAAGGTCAAAAGGTCAACAAGCCCCCCCCCACTTTCTTTAAATTTGACAAAATTAGTGTCAAACGTTTGTGCAGCAAAAAAAGATGTTAACTGATCTTTAATGGCTTCTACAAAATATTATTAAAATCATTGAAATGATACACTGGAAAAAATTTTAATATAGATAAGTCATTTTTTCTTAAAATAAGTGCATTTGTTCTTGGATTGAGGAGATAAAAGAGACATTTTGTCAATGGAACAAGACAATTTACACTTAAAATAAGAAAACTCAATTGCATTGTCCTTTTTCTAGTGCATATTATGTAATTATCTTAATTTAAGAGTTAAAATATTCATTCCATTGGCAAACTACCTC